TTTTTAGTTTACATGACAGCAGCTTGTAAATATATTTATAGTCTTTAGTTTACCGTCTGCAATGTCGTTAGACAAGTTATTGTTTGGTGGTTAATCAGGACAAAATACATTTAAAATATTTTAGTTTAATTATACTGTAGTTAAATTGTGCTAAATGGAGCAAGTTGGCAGCGATACTATTTGAGATTGAAGCTGTGATAGCGGATTAATATTAATGTATATTAATCATATCCCATAATTTCAGGGACAGATTATGGCTGCTGATAACAGACATACATCAGATTAATGCATTAAATAGGGTTGCAGTGATCTGTATTTGTCTGTTTAGTTTAATTTCAATAAAAACCTGCTTCATCTCTGGTACTGTTTAATTCTTACAGACACATCTGAATGTAAAATATTTTTATAAAGGTGGGATATTCTGATGTAGAGTCTTAATGCATCGTTATGAGCTCCCATACATTTAATGGGTAGGATATTCTGATGGAGTTTTGGTAAAAGTCATGTGTATTTAATGAAGGTAGGATATTTTAATACAGGGCTGTAGTGAACCTACATGTAGCAGCTTTACACATTAAATCACATTAAGCCCTTACCCTCCTTATGAAGGAGTTCAGTTCATTAAAACAAGCTGGTTCTGTAAACGGGGATTCTGGTTTTCAAAAGTTTTCATCGTTCACATATTTTTTCAAATGTTACGTATCACTGCTATGCTTCACATACAGAATGATTTCTGATTAATATATTATAGTATTGAGTTTTTAATAATTGCCACAGTTTTGGTTGCCTGATTATTTCCCCCCCCAAAGGTTTTGTTGGCTCCTGTGGCCTTTATTTGAAAGTAGTTTGACAGGAAGGAGGGGAAGACATGCAGCAGATGTCACCAGGCCGGGAATCGAACCTGTGACCACTGGCATGAGGACTAAGGCCTCCATACGTGGTTCTGCTTTGTCCCTGCACCACCACAGAGCCCCGGTTGTCTGATTTTTATGGGACGAGTTTTCCTGATGTCCAAACATCATCTCTGCCTCATTAAGAGGACAAATCATTTGATTTGGTGCCGTTTGATGCAAAAATGAAATAGAATAGAAATAAAAACCTAGAACCAGGATCCTGTGCGACTAAGAGCCAAAGTAAAGTTCAGAGATGAAGCCGAGGCGCCGGCAGAGCGATTGGTGCTGCTGCCTGTTCAATGGATCAGCTATAGAAACTATAAACCCATTTATCTCATTCTGCCAGTAAAACACTGCAGTAAAGACGCCTACAGTCCAGCTTAGTTTCAAAATGGGATTTAATTTAAATATATTCTATAAATATAATCAAACACTGAACCTGGCTGTGGTTAGGGAGAGCCTGAGGTAGTCAGTGAAGTAAACTACTTTTTCAAAGTAACTGTCATTACTGTCTGTTGGAGCCTGAACCCTTTGCTAGCATGCTAACATGTTAGCAGCAGCTGTACTGGTTCTACTGGTTCTAACCTCTCACCAGTAGCAGCTGGTTCCTCCCAGTCCGACCAGCAGCTGCCCTGATCTGGGGTAAACTCTAACAGGTTTTAATGTTATGAAACTTTATTAATAACTTTAATCTTAGTCCTGTGGTACAGGCTGCAGGTAACTTCAGTAAAACATCGTTTTAGATGATTTTTAGTTTCTGTGACGGGAATAAACCTGAACTAAATCAGGTTATGGTACATGGTGGTGTTCTGGTAGTGATTTGGGTTTCTCTGTTCTGTGGCGTCTCCTGTCGGCCCTGGATCAGTTTCACCTGGTTGTCTCTATTTAAACCCACCTGTGCTCCTTGTCTGGTTCTGGTTCTGGTCTGACCATCATGTCTGACCGTCTGTCTGCCATTTGGGTTCGTTACACCAGTTGCTACCGGCTCTGAGGTTTTTGGTTCCTGCCCATCTGAGCTGCTGGACTTTGGATCGTTGTTTGTTAAATTCATCACTTCATTCTCACAGCGTCTCCTCATCCCCTCACCACATATCATGACAGTTCTGTCATCTGGATTATCATCTGGTTCAGTTTAACCTCTGAATAATCTCATGTTCTGGTCCAGAACCAGCAGAACCTTCAACCTGTCTGACCGGGTCAGAGGTTCTGGTTCCTTCAGCTGACCTCTGACCCTGATGGACACCGCTCTGCCTTACCTGTCTGACCTCTGTGTCCCCAGCTGACCTCTCCATCCCCCCAGTGGATGAACCGTCTCGTCTTCCTGCCTCACTGGAACTACATCCCCCATGATGCCTTGGGGCAGGACCAGGACAGAGGACACCTGGAGCTGATTGGCTCTCCTGACCTGCTGGGACCCAGAGCTGAGCTGGGATTGGCTACTGGGCCAGGAGGGGCGGGGCCTGAAGAAGGGGCGGGGCCTGATGGAGCGCTGAGCGTCAGAGAGGCTGCAGGTGTTCTGAGGACCAGGTGGGTCACCTGACCTCTGACTGGACCAGAACCAGTTAGAACTGGAACCAGTTAAATATTAATTTCCTCCAGTTTGTTAATTAATTTTCTGTTTAATGTTTTTTCTGATCGGTGATGATCAAAGAACAGAAACTGCAACAGAGGAATAAAAACAAAGATCTGATGATTATAGTTTATATCATTTGTATTTTATACAAATCAATTTGATTAATTATAGTTTATCTATTTTAGATAAAATGATCATTTTTACTGGTTATCATATTTATACTGTGGATATTTCATAGATGCATTGATCAAATGTTTTAGTGATCAGTAACCATTAAAACCAGTCAGCAGCTGTACCAGCTGCTCAGCGCCCCCTGCAGGTCACATCATGCTACTGCAGCCTGGTTACTAATTATTACCTGAAATAAAACATTTTATTGATGTTTTTATTGTTTAACTGGAAATAGATCAGTTACACTTTATCTAGCCAGAGTTACAAATAAAAAAAATCAGCTAATAAAATACATAAATAATAATAACTGATTGATTACATTTATTTTAGGGTTCAGGTGGTTTTTAGGAAACATAAATAAAAACTATTTTTATTAAATCCAGTTTAATTCAGAATAAATGATTTATTAATAATCTCAGCTGGTTCTGCTGCTCTGATCAACCTCCAGAAAAAACTGATCAGATTCCCCTCATAAAATATCAGATCAATTATTATTGGATGGTTTAATAATCATAACAGCTGCAGCAGCAAATCTCTGCATATTGATCATTGATCAGTTCAGCTCCAGGTCGTTTGTTTCTGGATAAACTCTGACTTGATTCTTTAATTTGTTGTTTATTTCTGTCAGAATTATGGATCAAATAATAACTGATAATTTAGGCTGAGTTCACACTGCAGCCTGAAGTGACCCTAACCTGATTTTTTGTCAAATCGGACGTTTTTTGCCGGGGCCGTTCACACTGCCAGTAAATGCGACCTATATGCGTTCTGCAGTCTGAACGGGCAAACCACCTGAAAGTGTCCCGCATGCGCAGTAGAGGGCGCCATAGCGTCAGCGTTCTCATGGAGGCTAACGGTGGAGCTTTGCTTACATATTTGAAGTTGTTGTCCAACCGGAGCAGCATATTAACAACTTAATCCTCATATAATCCGTCATGGTTGTTGTTTTGCTTCCCACTTGCGTGTATCAGGAAGCAGAATAGTGAGATTTGTAGAGAATCAGTGACGTTCAGTTCGGATGAATGCGACCTGGACGTTAGGTCGCATTAGAATTGGATATGTATCAGATATGGGTCACATTCGAAAAAGAATCCAACCTGTGCTGTTCACACTGCCATGAAAAGATCAGATACAGGTCGCATTACGTCAAAAAAAAAAGAAAAAAGAAAATCGGAATTGGGTCACTTTAGGCTGCAGTGTGAACGAAGCCTTATTAGAACTTTGATTTAAATTAAACTTAAATTGATCTGATCCAACAAGATCAAAGAGAAAATAATAATTGAATGTCCTCTATTGATTAATGGGACTAAAACTCACCAAAGTCACCACAGATGTTCCAGTTATGATAATTAATTACAGATTTAGGCCCAAAATTAACTTCAATATTTTCTCACAGGTAAAAAAAAAACAACAAAAATTGAACTATCAGGTTATTGGTTATCAGTGAACAGGTCAATCAGGTTCAGATCAATAACTGATCAGGACCCTGGATCTTCCCTGATCAGTCTGTCCAGGTGGATTCTACCTGTTCTCCTCCTCTTCATCATCAGCTTCATCAGTGGATAGATGTTATTAAAGCTGGTTCTGGTTCTGGTTCTAACCAGCCTCTCTGCCACTGTCCCCTCTCTGTCTCAGGGTCAGAGGTCAGCGGGTGTCTGTGTGGGGTCGGGTGGGCTCGGTGCGCCCCTTGCTGGAGGTTTCAGGAAGCTTCTTCTTCTTCTTCTGTCTGGAGGACCAACAGCAGACGGTTCCGGTTCTGGTGAAGGTAGGCGACCCGATCCGGTGGGCCGGTACTGGGAGCGGGTTCTGGTGGAGATCAGAACCAGTAGAACCATCATGAGAATCATCAGCACCAGTTCTGTGTTCTGGTACCAGAACCCGACCCAGCAGAACCAGTAGATCTACTGATGATGATGATGTCGTCTGGCTCCTTCCTCCTCTGAGGGGTTAGGCTGTAAGAATTAATGGGAGTCAATGTGATGAAAACACAACTGGAAAAAGAAAAGCAAAACTATTCGAATGGATCAGGAAACAACTAAAATGGCAAAGGCTCAACCAATGATCAGCCAATGATCAGCCAAAGGGCCACAGACAGTTTGTCAGACGTCCTGCAAACTGAATTCAAGTCACAGTGAAGACCATAAAGCACGGTGGTTCAAGCATCATGATATGGGATGTTTCTCTTGGTGTTGCTCCTGTTTATCACATACCAGGGATCATGGACCAGTTTGAGTAAAACTGGAAGAACTCATGTTCCTGTATGTTGAAGAGGAAATGTTCTGGAAATGTTTGTTTCAACAAGACGACGACCCGAACACCCAGCAGGCAGCAAAACCCTCAGACACACAGGAAGTGATGGAGAGGGCAGCTCAGCCTCTGGACCTTCATCTGTAGAAAACCTGACATAAAACATGATGTTCATGAGGCAAAACCAAGAAAAACAGAGGACCTGAGGAACATGGTGCAGCAGAACCTGCTGACCGGCACCAGAATCTGGTCAACTCCATGGACCCCTTCCATCCATCCATCCATTCATTAGGAGGTGTGAATGTTTTGGTCACCAGTCTGTCACAAACTGTGTTTATGCAACTAAATATTAGTTTATGATTCTCAGGAGAGATGAA